TTAGTCCGCCACGACTTACCTGGCTGGAGGACCTCTCTCTCTCTCTCTCTCTCTCTCTCTCTCTCTCTCTCTCTCTCAACACTACCCTACCCTATTGACCAATCACCACTCACCTAACCACCTCATCTCACAGTCTTACAAATACCCAACACTACCGAGCCTCTTCCTAATTGGTCTGGTTTTTAGCATCTCGACGTTGATTGGCCCATAACTTTTTTTAGGGGTGTTGCAAGTTGTCTCTCTCTCTCTCTCTCTCTCTCTCTTGAACAGTTGTAAGTCGTAAAAGCCGGAAAGCATTATAAAGAAGTTATAAGACCAGCATTATGGAAGTTCACAATGATTAGGTACTTTTATCTGAGGCTCAAATATTCTAGGTTTTGGTTTGGTTAGGTTAGGTTAGGTTAGGTTAGGTTAGGTTAGGTTAGAGTAGAGTAGAGTACATTAGGATTGGTTAGCTTAGTTTAGGATTGATTAGGTTACATTAGGTTAGGTTAGGATTGATTTGATTATGTATGGTTAGATTTGGTTTGGTTTGGTTAGTTTAGGATTAGTTAGTTTAGATTTGGTTAGGATTGGTTAGAGTAGATTAGGTTTGATTAGATTAGGAAAGGAAAGTGCATCTGGGGTCATTCGAACGTATAATAATAATAATAATAATAATAATAATAATAATAATAATAATAATAAAATTAATAATAATAATAATAATAATAATAATAATAAATGATAATGATAGTAATTTCGGTAAGTGCTGTTCTAGGAAGAGGGATTTTCATTGGAACGACTGGTGACCTTCAGTGACCTTTCAGCAGTGAGCTGGTCAACGTATAGGTCACACAATTACGCTGACAGACAAACATTACGTGTTGGGTTTATGAGTCGTGAGATTATTTAGTCAGTACAGGAAATGCTTCAGTGTTTGGTGACGAATATAAGAGTTATGATCTACTACTACTACTTATTTATTTTTAAATTTGGCCTCCAGCCTCCCACAATAGCCATACCTTCGCCGCCATTTTATTACCTTCAAATTAAATATCCTATTACATAAGTAGCCATCCTAGCTGTGTTGAGTTAGTTGAGCCGCAGATCTATGCGTCATTCAGTGACTGTTGCCTCATAGTCAATATCTGCAACTGTTGTCGGCTTTGGGGCCGAAGCTCTCGTTCCCCTGAGGCAGAGCAAAGCAGATCGAAGGAGAGAGAAGGACAGTCGACATCTCATCCAGGCTGTAGCATAACTACTGGGCTGCTGCTTCTGTTCGGATAGCACCTCCGCGAGTCTGGCGTAGAAGCTTCTTGCACTTGGTCCCACCCCACCAGAGGTTGTGAACACTAGAGGAGTGAAGCTGCCTTGATCAACGTTCTGAATTCTCTCCCCGTATCTACTACTACCACCACTCGCATCTACTACTACTTTAACATGGCCTCCATCCTCCCCCAATAGCCACACCTTCGCCACCATTTTGTTACCTTATAATCATTGTTCTTAATGGTTTATAACTGGTTGGTGTTGATGTTGTTGGTTGATGTTAGTTTGTAGTGTTGTAGTATTTTGGTAGTGCTGTAGTGATTATGGTAGTGGTGAAGTGGTAGTGGCGTAGTGATTGTGGTTGTGGTGAAGTGATTGTAATAATAATAATAATAATAATAATAAACGGTTTATTAATAGAGTTGCAGCCGGTGGCTGAAAATATACAGACTTACATTTGATTTAGACATAATGATATAATATGCATTGAATACATTTACAGGGCTGTACAGTACATAAATCAGGAGTTGTTTATTATTTTAACAATAGATGGGATGGTGCTGTTCTTATATCTATCGGTGCGGGCTCTTATGGGCTGAATTTTGTTGTAGTGGCGGACTGCGCGAGGCGGGTGGGGGGGCTGCCGGTGGCAGGAGGTGGCGATGACGAGGGTGGTTCATTAGTTGGCTGCCAAACCTTTCCAGTGCTTGGTGGTGGAGGTCACTGAGGGATGGCATTTCCAGGGTGGAGAGAGCGTTGATGTAGCCGGAGTATTCTGCTCCGAGCATGATTCTGCAGGCCCTTTTCTGTACCTTCTCTAGCCGACGTTGTTGGGTGGAGTTGAGAGAAGACGACCAGGCTGGTGATGCATACGTTAGTTTGGTGAGAATAAAGGCATTGTAGATGCTCCTCAGCTCTGGTGTGGGTGTCCCAAGTGACCTAAGTCGTCGTAGCATGTAGAGACGGTACGAGGCTGCCTTGACTGTATTATTTACATGAGCCTTCCAGTCCAGTTTGTTGTCTATAGTTACACCCAGGAGTTTGGCAGGCTGCACCAGCTGGAGAGGATGGGCACCCACTGTGACTGCTGGGGCTTGCACTGGAGTGGTGGCGGTATGGTAGTGGTGAAGTGATCGTGGTAGTCCTTTCCCTTTTTGCTCCAAGACCCTCCAGCCCTTCCACTCTCGTCCCTTCCTCTCTACTCCCTCCACGTTACTTCCTCCACCTTATCCTCCACCCTACTCCCTCCCCCTTCCCCTCCTCCACACTACTCCTTCCACCTTCCCCTCCTCCACCCTTCATTAACATCCTCACCTCCGCCACCACAGAGCAACATGCATGGAAACTTAGCTGTGTGTGTGGTGGAGGAGGAGGAGGAGAAGCGGCGCCACAAACACAGTCAAAAGGAGAAAAGTTTGGGTGAGTCACTTTGGGTGGTGGAAGGTGAGGCGGTCTGCCTGGTGAGAGTGACGGACGGGCCATGTGACGTAATGAAGGAGCTAGTGTTCGTGTACTCAAACATTGGGAAGTATTTTTATTGACTTACCTTAAGTTGAGGGAACACATCTAGTCACTGTGTCTCAGGATCTGTATTCTAAAAAAAAAAATACCTAAGTGGATTTATTTTTGTTTTTTATTGTGAATAAGAGTTTACATGTGCTGTAGATGCTCCAAGAGACGTATTTAAACACCGCGGGTAATAGACCACATCTAGTCAGTGTTCCTCAAGGTGTGTTTCCTAATATGTCTTGTAAAGTCTAATAAAAACGTCACTTAGGGAGGACAATGTTGTATATATAACACTGTACAAACATTCACACGAGATCCACGGAAAGCTATAAGGCCTCTGTACCTTGAAGTGAGAATACAGTGTAGTTACGATACTTTCTCGAGGTAATAATGTATTGGTGCTCTATGTCAGGGTTAGAGAAGCCAACGATTATGTCAGGGTTAGAGAAGCCAACGATTATGTCAGGGTTAGAGAAGCCAACGATTATGTCAGGGTTAGAGAAGCCAACGATGAATTATTCCTCTCTCTAGGAGAAAAACCCAGTTAAAATAATCTCTCTTATATTATTCAACGAGATTTCTGCTGCCATCTCTGTGTCGTAGCTTAAGTGGACCATTAAGATGTGTTGTTACATACTCAGGATATGACGGGGGGACCTGTGAACCTACCCTGGAGGTGGTGGTAGTGGCGTGAGGTGTTAAGACAGATAAACAGAGAGACAGAAAGACAGACAGAATAATGTTGTGTCTTCGGTGCCTCCTGACACCGCGTACCCAACACCACCAGCATCCCCTGGGACACGACACACAAAGAGTAACTCATTGTTACGCCCGTCTCACCTTGTCACCACCACCAAGTCCTTCACTTTATTGACACAAGACAAACACGACACATACCTCACGCCCTTCCCCTGTCTCGACCCCTGAAGTATGACCACTGGCTGGCTACAGGTCTCTCGTCTTAACCTTTTACATTGTCCGCTCAAGTACCTCTCTTGTAAGCTATGTCACGCTCGTTGTGGTTAATTTCTCACACTTACTCACACCCTGTCACCCTAGTACAGCTTATCTTTGCCCAGGTTTTTGATTGAATGCTGTAGAGCCCCACACCCCCACACCCCCACTCACCCCACACACACACACACCACACACCCCCACTCACCCCACACCACTCATCCTCGACTCTTGACTCACTTTCACTTGACAGAACTTTCCGATCGAGTTTTGTGTCATGCTGTGATATAACAGTCAATACGTCATCAGGTCTGTGGTGTCCAATTACGTAAACAATGTGTTGGAGGTGCTGCCCCCTGTCCTCTCCTGCCCACACTATTAGCGACTCTGGGATACACTTACGCACATACTCGGTAACACGAATACACACACATTTACACTCTTGGATACACCTGCATATACTGTTGGGACACACACACACACACACACACACACACAAAGCATAGATGGGTGGGTGGAAGGTTTGTGGGTGGATGGAAGATTATGTTGTGGGTGGAAGGTTGGTGGTATATGATAGACCTTGGGTGGATAGTGGATAGTAGTTGGATGGGGTAGGGTGGGGAGGTGGGTGGGGGTATGTGATTGGTGGAGGGAGGGACCCGATTTCCAAGGTGGACATCAAGATTGGTGGTGGTGGTGAGTACAGTATGGTGCTAAGTGGTGGTTGAGTACAGTATGGTGTTAAGTGGTCGTGGTGAGTACAGTATGGTGTTAAGTGGTTGTGGTGAGTACAGTATGGTGCTAAGTGGTGGTGGTAAGTACAGTGTGGTGTTAAGTGGTGTATCATATAGGTAAAGAGAAATAAGGTGATGACTCCTGTATTATTGGTATTATACGAGTTTGTTTATGGTAATGTGACTTAACTTCTAATATGTAACACAATATCAGATGTTTCTAAGTGTCCGGTGAATTTTGACTGCTACTGTACATGCGTTTGTCATTGGATGGTTATAAAGGAGTTCCATATGTAGTAAAACCTCTATTTATCGAACTGTGTGAGATTAGTCCGTTAAAGTCCGTTATATACGAAAATTCCTTCTAACGGATTATATGTAAGAAATTAGTCCGTTAGATCAAAGTTCGTTAAAATATGAAACTTTCTTCTAACGGGTTATATATAAGAAATTAGTCCGTTAGATCCGTTATATGGAGGTTTCACGATGATTCTTCCTGTGTTAATATAGTCAAGATGTAGATGCTAACCTCCTTCTGTCTTCCCCCTACAGGAGTTCTTGCTGGCCATCGACGTGACGAGTGCGGGTACGCCTGAGGAGAAGCTCAAGTGGGCCTTCCGTATGTATGACGTGGACGGTAACGGCGTGATTGACGTCTCTGAGATGACCAAGATCGTCCAGGTAGGTGTAGGGGAAGATATTGGGGAAATGGTGTAAGACAAGACCAACCCCCATCACCACACCCTCACACCACACCCTCACACCACACCACACCCTCACACCACACCAAACCAAACTACTCCACAACCCATACTAACTCAGTCGTGTGTGTGTGTGTGTGTGTGTCCCGACCATGGCCAGAGCAGCAGGCAGGGCCCCAACACCTCAGCTTTATGTTGATGGCGGCTACTCCAAGATTCATGCGCGCCACAAAAGTCAATTAACCAACTCTTTCCACTTCCTATGTGTATAAATCTTTAACCCGCACCAAGACGAAGCCTCTCCTGAATGGGCGGCGGGGGAGGTGTGTGCCTGTGTGTGTGCGGAAAACACCTTCCCACACACCTACACACACACACACACATCACTCCGGTTCTCAGACGGTCACGGGAGAACGCCAGAAAAATGTGTCTTGATAATTTGGCGCCACTAAAGGAAGAAATTATTATTATTATTATTATTTGGGAGCATGAAACATTGGAACTTTTACGGAGACTGTAACGTTTTCCTGACAATTATTAGGACGCTTAAAACTTTTGGGGGAAATTTTTAGAGCATGAAACGTTTTCCTGGGAACTTTTAAAAAGCGTATGTTTTTTTCTGGGAAACTTTAAAGGAGCTTAATACTTTTTTGGAAGAACTTTTAGGTGGCAATAAAAGTTTTGGGAAGAACTTTCAGAGATTTGGGGAATATAAAGGAAATTTTGGATTGAACATATCTTTTCGGGGATGTTATTGTGTGTTGTGTCCTGTGGTGAGAGAGAGAGAGAGAGAGAGAGAGAGAGAGAGAGAGAGAGAGAGAGAGAGCAACAACAGTAAATTCGGATGGAAGGCGCAATGATGAAACAAACTGAGGAGAAAGGGTAGAAAGGAAAAAGTATTTGGGATAGAGAATAGGAATGAATAAAGATGTAAGAGAGAAATGGGAAACGAGAAGAGAGGGGTGAGAGGGAGAGGCGAATAAGGGTAGATACAAGGGGGAGGTGAGTGATGGGGATTTACGTAGGAATAGGGAGGGAAGAAGGGATGGGTGAGGAGAGAGAGAGAGAGAGAGAGAGAGAGAGAGAGAGAGAGAGAGAGAGAGAGAGAGCCACGAGCGTCAGTATTGATCACCATATGCATCAGGGGTAACTTCCCCCTCCCTCCCCCGTGTTCTTACCTTCCCTACCTACTCACCCACATACCCATTCAACCACCTACCCACCTACCCACCCCTATGTTCCTACCCACACACCCACACCCCCACCCACCCACCCACCCACCCACCCCGTGTTGACTGAGTGTGTTATGGTAAGCGTTTCCCTCGGGTACACCTTGATCGCTCGGTCTTGTTTTAACAGGTCGCCTCAGATCGACTCTTGTAAACGCCTTACGTCAAATCCTCGACCCTCGGTGTGTACGCTAATGGTCCTTTGATAACTTGAAGGGACAGGGTAATTAGGTAACCAAGTGGTGGCCATTCAGATGTCCGGTGCTGAAACTCCACTTAGGACTCAGCCCACGGCGTCAGTCATGTCGGAGGGAGGGGCAACGGACCTACGGGGCCTCACGTCACACGTGTATCGCCTTCTTTATATTATCCGGGGTTTTGTAAGTCTGTGGACACTTTAAGTATGATATAAACCCGAAAACTGTCACGGTTATAATATGTGTTCATAGTGGACGACACTTGATGAAATTGACACTTGTTTGTAATTGTCGAAGGCAGTCATTAAGTTACCAGATAATAAACAACAGGTACTGTACAGGTACTAACAGCCAGACTCACTGTTGACTATGAGTAGGTACACGAGTCTCAGCAGGTGCAGGACAAGTGTTGTTCACTCTCCCTCTTGTTACCGTCACGCTGTGCACAATTTCTCACGTGATATATAACATCTTGGTTTACTAAAGTGCTTTATATTACCTTTACATATACTGTAATATTTCATCAATAATGACTTGCTGTATCACCTTAAAAACTGTGTAATATTTCATCTAGAATGACGTCATTGTGTCACCTTAAAAAGTGTGTAATATTTCATATGTTATCATCATTTGTTATCTTCACAAAGGGACGCCATTATCATACCTGTCAACTTTTAAGAGTGTGAAATAAGAATGTTGACTGGGCGAGGGAGTAGAGCACCCAAGGGGGGAGGGGTGGAGCCGCTTCCCACGGTGTGGAAAATTTTAAATTCCAGTCCTAATTTTACGGCGTTTCGTCGTACCCTGGGGGGGGGGGGGCTTCACCAGGTACTCGCCATCTTTGTTACCTCACCCTCAACACTCTCACCATATGTGTTGCCTAATTTCTAACAGTTGTTGTTGGGGTAGAAGGAGACCTTGTTTATGGCCCTGGCGGCTGAAACACGTCAATACATCATAAAGCGACGCCCTTGAAGTGACGTTTTGTACCGCCTTCAGTAAGTTACCAGTCATAAGAAGCTAAAACTTGTGTGCCAGATGTCTAATAACCCTGGTGGTTGAAGCTCACTAAATATAAGACAACAGCGGCGTTACCTGGGAAGTTTTAACTGTTGTTGTCTACTGTTGCGCGCGCGTGTGTGTGTGTGTGTGTGTTATAATGACTCGGAGTAAGAACCAACGCCTCAGTCAGTGCCAAGGGTGCCACCAGGTAAACGAGACCTTCATTTGCCCACTTTGCCGTAGTATTAAGACCGTGTTTAAGTCTGTCCGCTGAGCCAAATAGTAAAGACTTGTCTTCTCAAAACTTTCCTGAATATTGAGATGTAGTTGCCAGCTTGTTAGACTAAAACGCTCGATGCATTTAATGTGCATTTTTGTGCCAGACGTCAGCTTGGCTTTGTGGTTCTGACATTGAGATTGTATGTCATGTTCCCGTTCTTTGACAACTGGGCCACAGCATCGTAGAAGAATGGGACTTGTCACATTATACATAATTCTTTGGAAGATGTAATTAATGTTTTTCTCTGACGTCACGTTTCTCCAAAAAATACTCCCAAAATAAATGTTTGTCGACAAAAATATGTTTACATGTATGACAAATTAAATCTTCATTAGGAATTAACTGTGGAGGCCCCCAGAAGATACCAAATAAATAAAATGGTTCTATATAAGTCAGATGTCAAGGTCACAATGATCAAAAAGCAAATCTGAATTTCCTTTTTTTTTTTTAAATCATCATATCTCAAAGTGCAAGATAAAAGCTCTTGGAATTTGGTGTGAATACAGTTAGTGGCAGGGGCGAGGCTTGTCATCCATGAGTGTCTTGATTCTCGCCTCTTGATGTAAAACTCTCACTCAATAATGCTCTCACTTCCTAAGGTAATATTCTTAACCAAGGTAATGCTCTCACATCCTAAGGTGGTATCACTCAACTTTCGGGTGAACAAACTTGAAAGAGAGAGAGAGAGAGAGAGAGAGAGAGAGAGAGAGAGAGAGAGAGTCATTAGTAGTGGTAGAATGGAGAGAGGGAGTCGAGGTTGTCTGGGCAATAAATTTTAATATTTCACTCAGCTGGTGTGCTGGACGCATGCTAAAACAGGTATGATTATTATCCTCCCCCTTTTCCTTTTTCTTATTACTTGTTCTTATTTCCCCTTCTTTTTCATCGCTTACTCTTACGGAGGAGACTTACCGGACCTTAATTAAGTTAACCCACCCCAGTGTTTAGGTGAAAGCATTTCCACAAGTCTCCCCACTGCTCCACGCTTCAGCAAATTGTATCTACAACTTGAGAGTGAGTGTGTTAAGTCAGCAGTGTTGGTGGAGTGCAAGTCAGGAGAAAGTTAGTTAGTTAGTTACCTTAACTTCCTGGACGAGATCTGCACTAAATGGAAGGTCTCGGGTGTGTTTGTGCTGTGGTGCTTTAAAGCAATGGTCAGTCAACTTAAGTCATTTGTGTTCTCCCAAGTTTCTCAAGTTGTTGGTGTCAACTTCGAAAGGTCTTCAGCCACGGTCACTTCTTCCCTGTCTTCGTTGCTGTCGAGTCTTGGGTACAGTTCTGATGTTGCGTCCTTAATTAAAGCGGCGAATCTGCGACAGACGCCCGTGACATTTCCTTTTGGTTTTATTTTCGGCGAATCCTGGTTGACATTTTGTACCCGTGTGCTCTCACAGTCACGCGTCGGCAGTAAACATCCTTGCCCATCTTGTCTTTTAATTGCCGCGAAAAAACACTTGTGACGCTTCCTTTCTTACTTGCTGTCAAAATCTGCACCTTTTCACGTGTCTTCTTGATTGGCGCCTTTACAACTGCCTCTTCCTCTTGATTGTGAATTCCCGTACATCTACGTCTGTGGGCTTTTTTGATGATTCTGGTACAATGTGATACTTCTCTCTAATCTTCCAGTTATTTTGGATGGTACTTCAACTGCCAGGTTTATTGGGCGACATTCATTCAATCATAGTTTTGGGAATTGGCAGCTTTTAAAACAAATATAGACTTCAGAAGAGCTTATCTTCTTTCCCTTCTTTCACCTGCTGTGGGGCCGGGTGTGAGCGTCGCGACAGTGCCTCTCAGCCTTTGTAACACGTCATGACCCTCACGACCTCTCCTGCGTTGCTCCTCAGTAAATTCCTGGGAGATTAATGTTGGCTGCTGGAGTAACAGTGTTTGCTTCAGCATGGCAAGATTTTTCCAAGAAGCGTTACTTATTCAGGGTGTTTTTTTTCTTCAATATATTGTGAATGAAAATGCAGATGTGTTCTCTGATTTACTTTTACACGTTTGGAGAACTGTAAGGCTTCCTGGCTTATTCACACACACACACACACACACACACACACACACACACACACACGAAAAAATACTTATTATAATTGTTTGGGGACTTTGAATGCAAAATATGCAAAATTCCTATTTTTCAGTAAACCTTCAAAATTGCGACGCCGACTGTATGGTACTACGATACATAAATCCATTGTCAACGACTCTGAACCTGAGATTTTGAAGTGACTTAACTTACTTTATCAGGTCCATACGACAAGTGTTACAA